TTTCATGACGACATCAATCATCACTATTGCTTACAGTACTCTTGATGTTTACAGATCCTTTTCTCCTGTAAACATATTACGCATATAGAAATCGAAACCCCAGACTTTTGACGGTTTCAATGATCACCGTCGCTGCTCCTTCACCTTTCCGTATCAGTCCCCCGCCGATACAAAAGTGATACTATGAAGTAATGGCGAAAACGAATGCCATGAAAAATGACCGTAGCGCTCGGAAATTTGCGCTGCCAAGGTTACCTTTACTGATAAAATCAATCAATTCGCGTAAACACCACACACACACCCGTGTGTTGTAACAAACCGTTAAGAAAACGTAATCGGAGAGATCCCACTGAACGTGGGTGGTGAGGGTTCCCAAGAGGAGGATGAGGAGGAAAAAACTCCTCTTTGCCCTCATCCTCTGCCCTTTCCCACTTCCGCTCCCACAGAGTAGCTTTTCCGCGTAGCATTTACCCCCGTGTGCGCACTCGTTGATTTCCTTTGCATTCCGTTGCTCCACTCAAACCAGTTTCATTGCTTCAACAGCCATCATTAGCGAGGGGAAGAGGGGAACGGTGCCACTGCCGGAATAAAACGGTTCCCAACTATCCCACTAAGGTCCTGCCATGGACCTCCCTGAATTCGGTGCTCGGTTCTTTTCGCATTTCTTAAGCACCCTGTTGCTCTGTATTTGTTCAATGAATTTGTGCAATGCTCTTTCTGAATAGCAAACAATTAACGGGGGTGTTCAAGCGGCTCGCGACATTCTCCTTGACGACCGAAAACTGACCGGTTCCATTCCTATGGGAATCATTGCGATCAATATACATCGATTCCGTTTCGTCAAGAAGACAGGGACAGTAGAACTGGGTAGTGCCTACTGGCAGGTTGGACTCCCATATCTACTGCCCATTCGTGGGCTGTTGGAGATCGCTGCCTCCTAGCATGGTGTCGCCGCAGTGCGATGCCGCCGACGAACCCGTTTGTGTTTTTGGCCAGTGGGAATGGAGAGAATAGGTGGTATCAAGATGCAGCGATCGCACCACGCCCTATTGCCCAGCCATCGCATTCCATCCTCAGCCATACAAACCGACCGAACCGTATACGAATAAACCCGGTATAGGTATATGCTTTTGTGGATTGCCAAGAATTCTTGGCGCCGCCGCCATCGTGTCCGTGATAAGTAAGAACCGCTGCTGACGGCAGGCGGCTTCCAGCGTGTCTTGTTCCTATCTTGACCAAATATTTGCTCCAGCAAACCCGCATTCCCCACCACATCATGCGTTTGCCCCCGCCACTACCGCGACTCGTTGTGAATGTTGCTTTTTTTTGCGGGCCGATTTGATGATAGGCCCTTTGATGACGATGAACGACGGGACGGGCCATTCGATCGGTCGGAAGCAAAAGATGCCGTCGCCCATAGCCGCGGCGCAATCGGTGGTGGTTTGCTTACCTTGACGACTCCATCTGTGGTGAGATGTGGTCGTGAGATATGGGCGACAGCCGATGACATTCATTCATTACGATGCACCCACCAGACGACAGTCACCCACCAACCAGCCTCGCCCCCCACCTACCTACCTACCTACTCACCGTATACCGCGATCGGGTCAATCAACTCGTTACTTTGTACTCGTACTCGAGTAATCGGTTTCCTTCGTTCAAACCGAATTTTACGGACCATTTTATTGTTTTGTTTTTGTTTGATTCGTTTGGTTTTTGCTTGATCGAATTGCTCTAGTACTTGTCAATATTTGCATGACGATTGACAACGCCCCAAAGAAGGGGTGTTTCGGGCGTTCGTCGCTGCTCTTCGAGTTTACGTTTACGTCTCTCCGTCCGTGTTTGATAGACCTCATGTTTTGATGGCCGACGTTATGATGTTCCTCATAAACTGCTGCCGCCATGATATGAACGGTCGACTTGTTTCTGTCAATACATCCCATTCATAAAGGGTTTTCTTAGTCCCGTTTATGTCCCTAGCAAGTTCCCTTTCATTGCCATCCCACCCCCATCCCATCCCCTCGTTGCAAAAGCAAGTTTTCACTTTCCATCCTTGGGCTTCCGGTGGTTCACAATCTCTTTGCAAGAGTGCAATGGGAGAAATTTCTCTGTCCGAGTTTTTCTAGCCGTGGAACATGACGACAAAGACGATGACGACGGCGACGGCGACAATGTCGACGTGCCACCATCGTCGCCATCGTCGTCGCCGGCCGCTTTCGGCGTTAGATGGCCATTTCATTTACAAATGTCGATTGGAAACGATTAATCGCTCTTATGGACATCCCAAACTGTTCAATCTATGAACGGACAATCAATAATCGATCTACTGAACGATTGCTTTGCTTACTGGTATCTCCTGTTTTCTATTAACGCAAATAGATTCCCATGCGATCATAGCTGGCTATGTAAACCTCTTAGAGACCGTGGGGGCGTACAACAGCCCTTCAGATTCCAGAAAAGTAATGTTTGTCTTTGACGAAGGCCATACTCCTTTATGGGCGCTCGTAGAAAGGCACCACCACTGATCTGCTATGTCCATGCTTTTCCATGTAGTGTCCTTATCTTGTCCTTGTGATTTCGTAAAATATATCGCAGTCATTAGGTCACTATGGTCATTAGGTCCAATAAATAAACAAGTAAATAAATAAATATATAGAAATCTACATAGAATCTTGACGATTAAATAAAGTTTGTTATTCGTCTAGAAGCTCTTCTGATGCCATCGCATACACACCCATCGACATGTGTCTCTTCCTCTTATATTCACTTCACCACGCCTTGATACCGTATCCTTGTTTATGTTTCTTTTCGAGACCCTTTTTCAATTCCGTTGTTGTTCTTTTTTCGGTTTGAACCGTGTGTTGCGGGTTGTGCGTACTCGTCCTTATCAGTGCGGTGACAAATTTCTCGGCTAGCCATCATTTCTCTTTCGCATGCCTTCATCAACCTCATTAAATCGTTGATTTGAAAAATTTTTTTTGGAAAATTTTTATAAATCGATTAATCTGCCTTTCTGATCATCAGTACTGACAATTTGTGATGAGAACGTTGTCTTGGAAAAGTAGAAACCATTTCTGATGGCAATGGATTACATCGTTGACGTGGCCCATCAGTTGATCGATCATTTTTCTGAGGGCCTTTCTTTTACCTTGATAATCACCATCGTTAAATTTGTTTACCCTTTCTTTCCGATTACTTTTCACATTTACCACTCTGATCACAGTACAATTCTTTTTCATCGCTCTTTCGTAATCATCACTTCTCCGGGCTTTAGCCCTTCCCAAATGGATGACTCAGGAACTCCCCGTGATGATAGGGTGGATTATAAGCCAGTGGTGTTTCATTCCATTCTCACACCAACTGTTATTTGTCGAATCCATTAAAAATAGCTCCCGATCGCTCATATTTGGCATCTTTTCTTTGAAAAGCTCCCTGAGAAACTTTCGTTTTCGGATCGATTTTTATTGATTCTACCGATTTCCTATCGATTTCAGGTGATGGGTCCATTTTCGAGGGGAATGCTCGTGATCCTCCTGTTCATTTCATTTTTCGCCTTCGCAGGTATCGAAATCTATCACACATCAATCGATCATCTTATTCCATTATTCATGTTGATGGGCCCTGTTTAGTGCTTTCGCGTCGGCACATACGGGATGGGGAATGAATTGCGGCGTGGGGAAGGGAGTGTGTAGGGATGGGGAGGGGTAGCCGTCGAAGGTGATATGTTGAGTGGTTTGCGTGATAATCATTGATAAAGATCCTGCTGCTGCTGCTGCTAGATCTGCTGTCCTTGCCAAATCTGGTTATATGTGTATGTGGACGTATATGGACGACGTGATTATGCCTTCGCATTTCTATCATCTTAACCCCCCTTCGACGGCTTTGTTGATTGATGAACGAGAGCTTTCGAAACACGGGGGACCTCTACCTACACCCCTATTTATCACTTATCTCTCTTTCTGACAAAAAAACCAGGTTGAGGCTTTCTGTGGGTGCCTGCCGGTCAGTCCATGGCCTGCACCACGCCTGGTCCCTTTGGGAAATCTCTTTGGAAACTCTCCAATGTGGGTCAAGAGATGCTACTTTCCCACCAAGATTCCTTCAACTTCATGCCAACGATCATGCGCCCTGTAAGCACCCAGGCAAAGTGCAAATTGGTAAACTGGGCTCAACGGAAAAAAGACTGCCATAGGGTGTTCTGTAAATAAATTTAATAAACCTCAACCCCTCGTCAACCCACACTGAACCCTCTGCAGACCTGTTTCTCGACCAAACACACTAGTTACTAGAAGAAGTGCTTTACTTTGAAGATCACTTAGACAGTCAGGTAACCGACCCTTTGTTTGAACACTTTGAACTGGGAGTATTCCCTGATGAAAACCTCCCGAGCTCGTTCAAGTGATCGTCTAGATAAATCGAGATTACCTAGCATCGCCCTGTCTGGATCGAGAAATCAATCCTGTTGGATTGGGCCTCCTGTTGAATTGGGCCCATAGCCGCTAGACTCTCTAAGAATGGAGCCTTAGTATGACTACCAGCGCTTAAACTCAAGCAAGAGGGTTCATGAAGTGGATGCCAACAATTATGAGAGGATCACACTTGGCTCAGTGGGAGAAGGTGAAGAAAAGGGGAAAAAGGGTTATCAGAATGATTTCCCGTGAACTCTGCCAATTTTTTCGGGAATTGATAACAATAGAGTAAACGGTGTGGGAGATCTGAATGTGGGAAAGAAAATGATAAACCTCTTTGGTTTTTACATAGGTTATTTTTGAAAAAAATTATAAAATAAACTGGCTCTGGCATATATAAACATAGGTAAAACTATGCCATAGGTTTAAAATACTATTTGGTAACGGTACGGCAGGCTGCTTTGTCTGTTACCCCAAATTCATTGTATAGGACAAATGCGCACTCAAATGAAGCCAAGACCCTGATAGGGAATCGAATGCGTGGCGCATTTTTTAATGAAATTGGCCATTTGAGACTTCCCTACAAACCCTTCTAGGGAAGAAGGCCGGCCATACCTTCGAAGACTTTTATTCAGCAAAGTTATTTCCACATCCTACTGACTAATTGAGTTCTTATCAGTATGGAATGTTCGTCGACATTCGCAAGTCACAAGAATTTGGCAAAACGACCATTTTTCATGGAAGAGTACGAGACTCGTGAAAAAGACGAAATTCTCTATTTCTCGGTGGCGGTTACAGTTTTCGAAAAGGTATTCCCGAATTACACACGTCCCTAAAAAAAGTTAAAAACTAGCATTTAAATTGTATTGTCGTGGACATTTTTACGATCAGGGCGCCACTCGAACCGATAACACCGGGAAAAAATCATTTACTTTCCACAAAACCCCTCATTTATAACTCTGACGAGAGTTCTGTAGAAGAGTATTGGTGAAGGTAATCCTAGCCTTCTGAAGAGAAAACGAACTTACGACTTTCGTCTTGTTCAAGGTGATGTGCCCCTTCCCTAGCCGAGATGCTACCGGGACCTAAAATTCGCCTATTTCCATAATGGGAGCAATAAAAAGGAGTAGTACGGGATAGGGGACTGTACCGATGAGTCCAAAGCCATCACATATTCATAGCTTCTTCAGGACTGAGTACAATTTGCTAAAAAACCTAGCCCAACTTAGTAATCTACCTATACTGGAATGGGCGTTAAATAGAAGTCCAGCGACATGCTTCTTGGCAAGGCAGCAGACTAAGGATGTTCCCACATTCAGGGCGGATCCGAGCTTTCGCCATGTAATAGTAAGGGGAAAACTCAAAAATTTCACATCAAGTATTGGGGTATATGACTTGCTAATGATGCTGTGCTGTAGAAACTCCCACAGAAGCAAAAACTTCTTCCAAAAAGCTTCTGACGTATTTCAAATGCAAACGAATTTTCTTCTGGCTTCCCACTTTCTCCGTATCTTCAAGTTGGGGAAAGGAATAGCTCAAATCGATGGTTCACGGGAACGTGGCCTGTTTGGGAATGGACGGTCTGGGTATGGACGAACCCCTCATTTCTTTTTTTTCAGTGACAATGACCTTTATCGTTGATCACCGATCCTATTCCTACGATCCTGTTCCTACGATAGGCAAAGGATAAGCTCGATAATTACTGGTAATAAGTCAACCTGTTAGGTCCTCCAACTCGGTATAGGAGGCTTTCCGATAGCGAGGTATCGGGTGTGTATACAAGTATAAATGTTTCCGCCATTTTTTCATCTATCCTGATTGGGTGGCCCGTTTTTTTGGCTTTATTGGGACCGGTCTTTGGGTAGGATTCAGTTGTGAGAATTTTCGCTAGTAAGAGAAACGTAAGAATGGACAGATTGCAATTGGTGAAACCAGTTTTACTCCATTGATATGCTGCCACATCCTTAGACAGACACTATATACGCTTGAAAGGTTCTCTAATGGACTGCTTAGGTAAAAACCATCCACAAATACGGAACCGAGCCAGGAACACCTCTAGCATTGATTTCTTCCCACTTTTAAAAACCTGGGAAGGATTGAAAACTTTGCTAGAGTTGATTCGGGAAAAATTTTAGAATCTCTACGTGTCCGACGAGAATCACGAGGGACGGAAAGCCTTTTGACCGTCGAATGGGAGGGAATCCAGACAGGTATGCCGTTTTGGCCACCCATTGGCCTCCCATGGTACTGACTCATTTATGAACCCCCTATTTAGGAGACCATCCTGAAACTGATGTAAAGGGCTTCCTCGTCGAATATCGTGCTGAAAAGGACAAACATTGGATGGTACACTCGGGAATTATTCCCTATAAAGGACCCAATCACCAGTATCGAGTGCAGGTGGGTATCAATCACTAGCTTTTTGGAGATTCTACCATTCCATCTCGTTTCAGATACCAAAACTTCCGACCGGAGTGGCATATTTTGTCCGTATCAAAGTGCTCGGAGCTCATAATGAGATTCTAGTGGAGACAGCGGAGATCCGAGCTCGAAACGAGATCGTCTCGATCAAATGCGAAAGCGGTAAGGA